TCACCCAGGAAGGACAACAGGGACTTGAACTCCTCTCTCCTATCAATTGGATTATATGTGATAAAGGAATCCATTTCAGGTTTTATCTGGGAGAGCATTTTGTGTAAGCTTAACGTTTTATACATACAAACCCCCAGGTTCTATAACAGTCTAAAGTTAGGTTGAGGGATAGGCAGGCAGGATATCTGAGGCGATTCACTCTCCTCTTTGGTCCTATTTCCCAATCTGTAAAACAATGTGGTTAAAACAGATAATCCTTAACTGCTGAGTTCCAAAGTTAAAAGGGATGTTTTATAGGCAAAGCTTTAAGAGGTTAAATGACTTGCCTAAGGCTGTACTGCTAGCCTTTTGGAGTGAACCAGCAGACTGAAGATCTCTGTCTCTCCCTCTCTCTAACTCTACCTTTCAAATAAATAAAAAATAAATCTTTAAGGCAAAAGGAAACAATAACTATAACTGAATTATACCTAAAACAAATATAGATGTGGTATATGTAAAAAACATTACAAAAAAGGGAAGAGAAATAAAGTTATACTGGAACAAAATTGCTGTATTTTACTAGAATTAAATAAGAATTAGCCCGAAGTGTACTGTTTTAAGCTAAAGACACATAATGCAATCTCTAGGACAACCACTAAGAAAATAACGATTTTTAAAGTAGCTTTTTAAAAAATCAGAGGAATTAAAATAAACTAAATATATATATTTAATGATACATTAAATAGGGTTAGGGTTAGGGTAATGATACATTAAATATATATAAAAACCAATAAAGGAATAAAAGAGGAACAAAAAGTGAGACATGCAGAAAAAAGCAAAAAGCAGGCATAAACCCAAAATCATACTGGTAATTACATTAAATGTTAATGAACTATATAACCAAAAGATGGAATTCTCAATTTGGATGAAAAAACAAGATCTAATTATATGGTGTGCACAAGAGACACATCATATGGTCAAAGACACAAGATGTTGAAAGCACAAGGTTGGCTGGCGCTGCAGCTCACTAGGCTAACCCTCTGCCTGCAGTGCCGGCACCCCAGGTTCTAGTCCTGCTCGGGGTGCTGGATTCTGTCCCCGTTGCTCCTCTTCCAGTCCAGCTCTCTGCTGTGGCCTGGGAAGGCAGTGGAGGATGGCCCAAATGCTTGAGCCTTGCACCTGCATGGGAGACCAGGAGGAAGCACCTGGCTCCTGGCTTTGGATCGGTGCAGCGTGCTGGCCATAGCGGCCATTTCGGGGGTAAATCAATGGAAGGAAGACCTTCTCTCTCTCTCTCTCTCTCTCTAATTCTGCCTGAGAAAGAGAGAAAGAGAGAAAGAGAGAAAGAGAGAAAGAGAGAGAGAAAGGAAAGGAAAAGGAAAAGGAAAAGGAAAAGGAAAAGGAAAAGGAAAAGGAAAAGGAAAAGAAAGCACAAGGTTAGGAGCCGGCACCGTGGCATAGTGGGTAAAGCTGCTGCCTGCAGTGCTAGCAACCCATATGGGTGCTGGTTCAAGTCCCGGCTGTTCCACTTCACTTCCAACTCTCTGCTTATGCAGCTGGGAAACAGTGGAGGATGGCCCAAGTGCTTGCGCCCCCCTCACTCAAGTGGGAGACCTGGAAGAAGCTCCTGGCTCCTGGCTTCCGATCGATTGGCCCAGCTCCAGCTGTTGCAGCCATTTGGGGAGTGAACTAGCAGACAGAAGCCCTCTCTATTCTCCCTCTCTCTGTCTCTAACTCAAATAAATAATTAAAACTTTAAAAAAAAAAAAGAAAAGCAAAAGGTTAAAAAAAGATATTCCTCATAGAAGAGTAGGATCATCTATATTATTACTATCAGAAAAATTAAACCCTTAAAGATATATCATTAGAGACACAGAGAATTCAAAATAATAAACATCAATATATCAACAAGGTTATAGCAACTCTAAATGAATATACATTTAATATATACACAAAATATGTGAATAAACACTGAAAGTGCCAGCATCCCATATGGGTGCCTGGAGTAGCATAGAGACCAAGAATTAATAACAAAAAAGAATTTTTTTAGGTGGGATGGAGACTTTTTTTTAAGATTTTATTTATTGGGCCGGCACTGTGGTGTAGCAGGTAAAGCTGCCGTCTGTAGTGCCCGCATCCCATATGGATTCTGGTTCGAGTTCCGGCTGCTCCACTTCCTATCCAGCTCTGCTGCGGCCTGGGAAAGCAGTGGAGGATGGCCCAAGTCCTTGGGCCCCTGCATACACGTGGGAGACCTGGAGGAGGCTCCAAGCTCCTGGCTTTGGATGGGTGCAGCTCCAGCCATTGCGGCCAACTGGGGAGTGAACCATCGGATGGAAGACCTCTCTCTCTCTCTGCTTCTCCTTCTCTCTCTGTGTAACTCTAACTATTTATTTGAAAGGCAGAAGTAGAGAAAGAGAAAGAGAATGAGAGTGAGAGAGAGAGAGAGAGATCTCCCATCCACTGGTTCACTTCCCAGATGGCTGCCTGGCCAGGGCTGGGCCAGGCTGAAGCCAAGAGCCAGGAGCTTCCTCTGGGTCTCCCATCTGGGAGCAGGGGCCTAAGCACGTGAGCCATCCTTTGCTGCCTTCCCAGGCACATCAGCAGGGAGCTGGATCAGAAGTGGAGCAGCTAGGACTTGAATCAGTGCCGGTGCTGGCGGCAGCTTATCCGGAGGCACCATAGCACTGGCCCTAGCAGAGACTTTTTTCCAAGAGGACTGTGGTGATTTTGCACAACTGTATAAATGTACTAAAGATAATAAAATTTTACACTTAAATGAGTGACCATTATGACATTAAAATTAAATTTCAATAAAATTGTTCTGAAAAGGACTTCTGATGTTACAGTACTATCAAATCACTACAAAAGAATTTTTTCTTTTTTATTTATTTATTTTTTAAAGATTTATTATTTATTTATTTGAAGGTCAGAGTTACACAGAGAGCTGTGCCAATCTGAAGTCAGGAGCCAGGAGCCAGGAGCTTCTTCTGGGTCTCCCATATGGGTGCAGGGGCCCAAGGACTTGGGCCATCTTCTACTGCTTTCCCAGGCCACAGCAGAGCTGAGTTGGAAATGGAGCAGCCAGGTCTCCAACCAGCGCCCATATAGGATGCCAGTGCTTCAGGCCAGGGCATTAACCCACTGCACCACAGCGTTGGCCCCGAAAGAATTTCTAAATACTCTCCATTTTTACATATGTCTCCAGTCCACAGACAGTGCCTTGATTTATCCCACTCCTGCTAAGTGTCGGCTAAAATGCTTGTAGCAATCAATAGTTGTAATTGAAATTGATTTAATTTAATTTAAGCCATTCAAGTTTAACTCCACTAAATATTTCATTAAATAAGGAATTTACATGGATTACTGACAAAAGCAAAGTATGGAAACATGGTCTATTGTGGAATAAAAACGTAACTCATTAAAAAATGATGGTTTGTAAATAAGTTGCCATGAGAGAACAAAAAGTACCACAGCATGTCTCTCTATTTACCATAGGCCCTTACAACTAAATCCATAAAATCAGTTTAATTACAAATTATCTGGAATAATAAAACTTAAAGCAATAAAAAATTTAAATGAATAAATAATAAGGTAAATTTTTATAATATTTTGTACTTTTTTGGTTGAAATATCAGATATCCAAATAATTTATACATATACATTTGTTTCGGAAAAAAATCCTAAAAACACATAAGTTTTATTTTGATCTACATAAGTGTAAATCTAGGGTAACTTCAACCAAAATTGGCAAGCACTTAATGTCTACAATGTGATCTAAAATTTGAATTCCTTTTATAGTAATTCGGTAGAATTACAAAAAAGCACTGATACTTTTTTACAGCTCAAGCAAAACACAGAGATGAAATAAAGACTCTCTTGTTTTATGAAAGTCAAAGCTTCAGTTAACTTTTTTAGGGAAAATTAAATACTAAACTTTTTAGATAAGTTATTAGATTTTCAAACCCAAAATCCTATTTTTACTATAAAATTTCTCATTTTCAATAGGAAAACAGATGTTCAATGTCTCAAGCATGACTGGGAAAAAACAAACTGAATTACGATGACTAAGAAGAAACAAACTTGGGCTATAAAAAGCTTTGCAGTTTATAAATTTCATTCCACAGATCAGTTCAGGATCTTTAGTAAGAAACGATTATTCCTTAGAGCTCAGAATTTCTTTATTTGGATTGACTATCCAATGAAACCACACTTTCAAAACCACACAAGGCTCTGGAATACGACTCTCTTATAATGAGGCTTTTGAACTGCCAAACCAACATTTAGTTTAACAGCATTCCCTTCATATTTAACAGGAGAGACCTGGATTGACGGAGTTTTGTTCTGAATGAAAGACCGTTAACTTAAACTGAAAATAAAACTGAAGTAAAACAGCCAGAATATTTATACTTATGGTCATTCTAGAATTAATGTATTCTAGTTATGTATAATAGTTGTCATGCTGTTGTTAACTTTTATTAACTTTTATTAAAAATTTTTGCAGTGCTACTAGGAAAGCTGAAGAAGAGGTTTTACAGTCTTGGTTGGCCTGCCCCTCATCACAACCACTCCTGGTGTTTCCAGATTCTCTGCCCCTTACATTTTACTTTAGACCAGAAGCTTAGTTAACAATACCGGAAGGAAACCTAAAGAAGGAAACAAACACTGGAAGCATCTACTCTTGCTCCACTTCCTTTCTCCAGTGAAATGCCAGCTCACAGAACACAGAACATCCTGCAGGAAGTCACTTCCTACCACGTATCTCAAACATCAACTCACTCTCCAGAAACCCATCCAGATGCATTTGGTTTTCTGGCAACAGTTACAACTTGGTAAGTGTGTATGGGTAGAAAAGCAATTGTTATATGTATTAATTATCATAACAGCAGTACACAAAGATACAACTTTACACCCCCAAATACACATTATTAAATAAGAACAGATTCTAAATATGCAGCTATGAATAGGGATCACTGTTCCACAGCCAAGCTTTTCACAACTTATGCCCACAGCCATCTTACCTTTCTGGCTTTGTCTCCTAGACATTGCAGTTCGGTTGATCTCAAAAAACACAGGAGAAAGAAATCCTTTTGCCTTGTCTGGGTTCTGAGTATCTCTGGTTTAAGCGTGGGCAACTCAAGTCTGCAGTTGGAAGCAATGAACACAAAATCCTGCTTGTTCGAAATCCAGTTTGCTAGCTGCTGATCTCCTTTCCTTCTCCTGTCAGGAAATGGCATTGCAGACATTCATGTCTCTTTTTCCAGGGTGATTCTGGAAGGAAACACACACACACACACACACATTCACTATACAGTAATGGCCATCTGCATGAAATTTCTAAGCGACATGCATAGATTTTCTCTGTATAAAACTAGCTTTTTTTTTTCTTCTAAAGTACTATGGAAAGAATGTAGCTTTTTTATTATTTTATTTTATTTTATTTATTTTTGACAGGCAGAGTGGACAGTGAGAGAGAGAGAGAGACAGAGAGAAAGGTCTTCCTTTTTCCATTGGTTCACCCCCCAAGTGGCCGCTACGGCCGGGGCATTGCGGCTGGCTGCACTGATCTGAAGCCAGAAGCCAGGCGCTTCCTCCTGGTCTCCCATGCGGGCGCAGGGCCTGGGCCATCCTCCACTGCACTCCGGGCCACAGCAGAGAGCTGGACTGGAAGAGGAGCAACCAGGACAGAATCCCGCACTCTGAGCGGGACTAGAACCCAGTGTGCTGGCGCTGCAGGCGGAGGATAAGCTTAGTGAGCCACGGCGCCGGCCTGTAGCTGTTTTAAAAAGTTCTTTTTTTTCCTTTAATCTTACATCATCTTTCTCGTTTGGAAAGCACATTTTGTCTTATCTTTCATAACTCTCAAATATCGCATCCCCATCTCTGCTCCACAACTAAATTACCACCTGGTATCACTCCCTAAAATCTTTCTTACCACCCAATCTTATCCAAATCAAGGGTCTTTTCACTTCCTCTAGAATTTAACCTCTCATCAGGTTTTCCAGCCCAAATGTAGCTGGAACAAACTTGGAGGAGGGATGTGAGTGAGGGGAAAGTCAAAGGAATCCTAATAAGGAAAATCAGAACATCAAAATGTGACCAGTCAGTACTACAGAAAATTTCTCTGATTTGTAAAGATACAAATGCTACTTTCTCCATGTTACTAAACATTTTAGAGATACATGCCTAAGATTTTGGGCAAAGAAAGCATGAAGAGGATCATGAACTCCCATTCCCAGACAACTGACAGGAAAATATTTTATAAATGCAGGGCAGGAAGGAAAGGAAAATTGCCTTATGTGAAAAGTTTTTCAATGTGGAGAGAGGATGATGGGGATGAGGAGGCAATCCTAGGGAAGTTAAAATAAACTCCATCAGAGTAGGAGCCTCCAAACACTGTGGCGTCTCAGGAAAGGCAGGTGAGCAGCTGAGGCTCACCACCTTCCACAGCCCTGCACTCCGCTGGGAGAACACACTCCTGGGCAGAGTGTGCCAGAGAATAGTCAATGAGATTTTAGAAGAAAGAAAAGATTCAGATATACAAAAAAGAACTGAACTCTTCAGTGGTAAGTTCTTCTCCACCCTCACATCTTTGGATTAAACAGGGGGAGGAGAGCAATCAGTAACTAACCACAGCTGGTGAGCAGGGGTGGGTGAGACAGATCTGAAATAAGATGGGAAATGAAGCACATTTCATCCGCACCGTGTGCTACAATCAGAGCTGTCCACAGACAGCATAGAGAGGATAAATAAAAATGACCCAGCAATTATCCAACCTCCTACAACAAAAGAGAAAGACAAACGAGAGAGAAGAAACTGAAGAACTCTGTCTGGAAAACAATATAACCCCCAAACTAAAAGCTGATTCCCCTTTGGATACGTATTTGAATACTTCAAATAAGAATTCTAAATTCCATGAAATAAAAGCCGGAAAGCAGGACAAAAACGGAATGAAAAGAAAGCAACAGCAAAGCTGAGGAAAAACAGAAGGACAAGAAACCCACCAACTATGGATCCAATAAGTCAGAAACAGCAAAGAAACCAAATAGACAGATGGAAACAGAATGAATGGAAGGAAAGCCTTCAGAAGGAAAAAAAAACAGCTTAAAGCAATTAGAAGACAATACTAAAACATAAAATGATCCTAAGGATAACCAGAATTGATATAGGGACTCAAAAATTATAGGGCTCAATAAAAGGAACAGAAAAAGCATTTACACACAATATATAGGAAAATCCCCCTTGAAATAAAGGAAGGCCTTGCTCTGCTCACTGCCCACCACCTCTGTCCACCAGAAGAAACCTACCTTTAAAATACGCGGAACCAACCACTTCTCAGCACCACCACCGCTACCACTCTGATCCAAGTCACAATCCACCCCCTGCTGCATGACAACCAGGACTGCAACAGCCACCTCACCAGCACCCGAGCCTTCCACTCTGCCATTCTCTGGCTTCTGTTTCCCCAAGGCTGCTCCTAAAATTATCAGGCGGACCATGTCCCAATGCCGCTGCTTACAGGACCCCACAGGCTCTCCACCCCCTTAAATCAAGTCCTCACAGGAGTACGAATGGTTTTCTCTGCGCTCGGCCTCCACCCTCTTGCCTCCCTGACCCTGAGTCCCACTACCTTCCACTTCAGACACTCCACTGGGGCCACACACTGGCCTCTTTCTTCATCACCCCACTTGTAACCCAGTAAGTTCTCTCCTTAGGGTCCTTAAAGTGTTCCCTGTCAGGAATGCCTTTCCACCTCCATCTCATTCAGGTCTTTTTCTCAAACTTTATTTTCTTTACACTCATTCACAAAAAACTACTGAACTTTCAGAACAGTGCACAGCACTGGTGCCTGGGGCTGCTCCCATCACAAGGCTGCCACCCCCAAGTTAGTGGGAAAGACAGCGCTATAGAGTGAGGAAGTCAAAGAAAATGATACCAGACAGTAACCTGAATCTACACCACGAAATTAAAAAAAAAAGTGTGTAAATGTAAAATACATATTTTTAAATTTTCTTCTTTTAAATTACTTAAGATATATAATATTGCATAAAGCAGAAATAACAATATATTGAAGGTTTGTAACAAATATAGATATTATGACAAAGACTTGCACAAAGGGGAAAAGAAGTTATGTTACAGAATTAAGTTCATATTAATCAGACTGTGATATGATGTATATTGTAATTCTCAGAGTAAGTACTAAGACACCAACTCAAAAATAGTAAAAATAAACAAAAGAGCAATAGAAGAATTAAAACCTTACATTAAAAAAAAATCTATTAAGGGCTGATGTTTGGCCTAACAGTTAAGACACCAGTTAAAGATGCCCAAGCCCCAACCTAGAGAGCCTGGATTCCACTCCCAACTCCAGCTGCCAATTTGTTTCCCACCACTGCAAACCCTGGGAGGAGCAGGTGATAGATCAAGTGCCTGGGTCCCTGCCACACACTGGAGACAAGGACTGCTCTGCAGGCTTCATGCTCTGACCCCAGCCCAGCCCTGGCTATTGCAGACAGTTTGCAGAATGAACTAGCAAACTAGCAAACAGGAGCTCTCCTGTTTCTGCCTCTCAAATGGAGAAAAATAAATATTAAATACTAAATAAGGCAATAGAGAAGGAATAAGCAAACAGAAAAGACATAAGACACACAAAAATCAAGACCAAAATAGCAGATACAAAACCAGCTTTACCATAAATTACATTAAATATAAATGGGTTAAAGACGCCACTCAAAAGATAGAAAGTGGGGCTGGCATTATGGGGTAGCAGGCTAAGCCACTACCTGCAACAGCAGCATCCCATATGGGTGCCAGTTCAAGTCCCAGCTGCTCCACTTCAGATCCAGCTCCTGAGACTGCGGCAGAAAGTGGTCTAAGTACTTGGGTCCCTTCACCCATGTAGGAGACCCATCCAGATGAAGCTCCTAGCTCCCAGCTTCAGCCTATCCCAGCCCCAGCTGTTAAGGACATTTGGGGAGTGAATCAACAGATGGAAGATCTCTCTACATATATAACTCTGCCATTCAAATAAATAAATAAATCTTTAAAAAAGATAGATAGATATTAGTCAAATTGGATGAAAAAAACAACACCCAACTATAGATTCAGATACAACAGAACTAGAAGTAAAAGAGTGAAAAAAAAAACACATTATCAATAGATAACAAGAGCTTAATATCAGACAAAAAAGAATTTAAGACAAAAATATTACTACAAAGATGTGTCATTATGATAATAAAAGGGTTATAACATCAAGAATATAGCAATTATAAATGCATATCCACCTAACAGAGACCTAAAATTCATGTGTCAAAAACTGTCAGCATTGAAAGCATCAAGAGTTCAACAATAACAGTTGAAGACTTCAATACCTCATTCTCAATAACTGATCAAAAATCCAGATAGAAAATCAGCAAGATCACATTATCCTTCAAAAAAAGAATACACAATTCTTTCAAGCACACACAGAACATCCTTCAGGACAGATCATCAGATTATGACCAAAGCCAAGCATCAGATTATGACCCAAGGGCCAAATCCAGCCTCACTGTCTTTTTTTTTCTTTTCCTTTGAGAAGCAGTTGGGGCCAACATTGTGGTATAGCAGGTTAAGCTGCCACCTGCAACACCATTCCTTGTCCTAGCTGTTCCACTTCTGATTCAGCTCCTGTTAATGCACCTGGAAAAGTAGTGGAAGATGGCCCAAGAGACCAGGATGGAGTTCCAGGTTCTTGGCATTGGCCTGGTCCAATCCCAGCCCTTGCAGCCATTTGGACAGTGAATCAGTGGGTCAAAGATTCTATCTATCTATCTATCTATCTATCTATCTATCTCTGAAACTCTGCCTTTCAAATAAATAAATAAATCTTTGAAAAAAGAAACTGAGAAGCGGAGATGGTAAGCAAGCTCCCATCTGTGGATTTGTTCCCCAAATGCTTACAACGGCTGGCACTGAGCCAAGGCAAGGATTCCGGAACTCAACCGCTCTCTCATGTGGGTGGCAGGAACACAACTACATACGCCATCACCATTGCCTCCCAGGGAAAGCAGAAAGCAGGAGATGGGAACCAGGGGCAGCATCCAATCCAGGTACTTTGATATAGGACTCCGGCACCTCAAACAGTGACTCAACACCTGCCCCATTACTGTCTGGCTTTATAAATAAAAATTTATTCTTGCACAGGCATACCTATTGGTTTGTATACTGTGGCAGCTTTCGTGCTACAGCAAGTATCAGTAATTGCAAGGAGATCATTTGTCCCATTAGCCTAA